GACAGGGGGAAAACAAGAACTAAAAATCGTTCCCACTATGTACCAGACATTGTGGTAGGACTGGTGTTTATTTGTTTTAGCTGTGGTAAAAAACACACAGCAAAAAAATTTACAATTTTTATCATTTTTAACTCTACAGTTTCATAGTGTTAAGTATATTCACATTATTTTGAAGCAGATCTCCAGAACTTTTTCATCTTGCAAAACTAAAACACTATACCCATTAAACAATTCTCCTTTTCTCCTTCCTCCCACCTCCTGGTAACATCCATACTGCTTTGTATCTAAGAATTTAAATACTTTATATCTCTCACATAAATGCAGTCATAGCATTGTCTTGTTGTGACTGGCTTATTTTAGTGTAGTGTAGTTTAGTGTTGTTTTTTTTCTGATAATAGTGATCCTCTGTGTCACTAAAGTCACTAAAGATTTAAAGTATTCAAGTTCTTAGATACCACCTCAGGGTTTCTCCATGTTGTAGCATGTGGCAGGATTTCCTTCTTTTTTAAGACTAATATTCCATGGTACGTTTGCACCATATTTGGCTTATCCATTCATCCATTGAAGGACAATTGAATTGGTTCCACCTCGTGACTGTTGAGAATAGTGCTGCTATGAACATGGATATGCAAATATTTCTTCTTGGTTGTACTTTCAATTCTTTTGAGTGTATACCTGGAAGATCATATGGTAGTTCTCTAATTATCTGACGATCTCTACAATATTTTCCATAGCAGCTGTACTATTTTACAATCCTACTAACAGTCCGTGTCCTTTTTGACACTTGTTATTTTCTGGATTTTTAGCAGTAACCATCCTAAAGGGAATGTGTGACTAGAATTTTATAAATGATCCCTTTTTTAATCCTTCAAGAAACCTGTGGCAAAATATAAAGTACCATTTAATAGCAATGCAGTCTTTGCACAGAAAAAGCAGGGATTCCAGTCCAGGTGGTTCTGAACTTGACAATGAAAAATTTATTCTCGAAGTTTCACATATTCACAAAATTAATTGAGTTATTTTGAGCTGTGTTTACAAAATATAAGGTGCTCTATAGAATGTCCTGACTTTACGTGTAAAATAGGACATGTAGTTTTCTCAAACTGTGATCCCTAGAACAGCACTATCAGCATTACTGTGAACTTGTGAGAAATGCAGATTCTCAGATCATACCCCAGACCTACCAAATCAGAAACTCTGAGAGAAGAGAGAGCAGTCCGCTCAACCAGGCCTCCAGGTGATCCTGATGCATGGTCAGGTTTGAGCACCACTGGGTTTAGATCATTAGGCAGATATCCTAATGGTGGTCTTTTTACTGTTGCCAAACTGAAAACTGACATGTTGAGCATGTTGGAGTTTCCAGGGTAACCTGATAGAGTGAACTGTGTTCTGTACTTTATACCTCAGTTTTCACGAAAGTGTTGGGTTGGCCCAATTATAACAAAACTGGGAAAATAGCACTCCATATGTTAGAAGTTTTAGCCAGACTCCAATTTCGCAGAGTTGCTTCTCAACAAATGGCCACCCTCCCCAGGACAATCTCTCTCGGCTCAGCAGGGATCTGGGTTATCTGCCAGGATTTGCATCCCTGCTGGCATCCAAGTTCCCACTTTTTGCCTCCCTTTAGAGTGGGTCTGCAGTAAGCCTGGGAAGAACAGAAATAGCAGGAGATAGCAGAAACAAATGTGGAAACAAATATCAACTATTCCTCCTGCCAGCATCCCAGGCTTCTACCTGTCCCACCGTCAACAGCCCCTGGTCCCAGGTGTCCTGGACCAGTTCCCCAGAGACTTGTGAGGTACAAAGCAAGGAGTCAAACATCACACTTCCCTCTGAAAAATGGAGGAATCTGATTTTAATCTAGAATGAGAACTGTGGTTTTACCTATGGTCTTTACATAATTATTAATAATAGAATATTTCAGGTTGTCTTGCTTAAATAATAAAATTCATCCTACCAAGAATCTGCTAACTCTTGGATAAGCTTTTGCCTTTCCTTAATGCTTTTGAATGAAAAGAGAGAGCTTTTGGAGGAGCAGAAGATTGTGCAGCTGCATTCAGTGCTGCTGGCGGGGAATAAGATAAGGGACCTAATTCCTGGGGCTTTTTAGGGAGAAGGATGGTAATGTCTGGGAGAGGCCTTGAACCATTATGATGATAGGAACTGTGGCCTCCATTAGTGCTTTCAAGCCTAGTTGTACTCCCAAGCATGCACCTATTTCTCTTCCATCGACCCCTGCTCTGTGCTGTCAGAGCGCCCTCAATAGGGCACTGAGACCTGATTCTCAAGTTCCAAGGGCTTCCCTTACCTGGTTCTATGATATATTTAATGACAAAGCTAAGTGACTATGTTGCATTGTAAAACTCATCTTTAAAAATGGTTCAAATCTGCTTCAAGGGATTAGTAAACTTCAGGCCTGGAAACTGGGTTTAAATTGAAAATAATGCTGGTTCAAGTTATCTGCACAAATATGTTCCACTAACTTAACAACTCTCACAAATATTCTACCTGCTTGTCCACTCTTAGAAAGGATGTGTAAATGAACCCAGCCCTCTCTCTGCAGTCCTGGAGCATACACATCAGTACACTTGACAGTGGCAAGACTGACTTAATGATCATGTAAATCAGCAGAGAGATGCAAGGATTGGATGCCTGCCTTCCATACTAAATTGTGAATGCTTTTTGCTCCTCAACTTAACACATGTCAATGTTGTTTTACAATATCTGACACTGAATTTGTCTTCAACATTAACTCTGTGGTAAAAATTGACCAATAGTCGGCCTCATTTTCCCCACTTCCTGCCCAAATCAATACACATGTCTCCTCTGAAGAATGGGGAAAGTAAACAGAACTTGATCCTATGGTTTTAACTTACCTCAATCTGATGTGTGCTTAAAGAAAGAACCAATCACTTACTTAGATGCCATTGATTTAGTTTTTTTGTGTGTGCTCTTGTGAATTAATAAATTTACAGTCCTTCTACTTTCTAAGTAAACTTTTTGCCGCAGTCTGGCTGGGCACAATCAGGAGCCACTTGTCAAAAGAAACTAACTTTATTTTTAGAACCACACACGACAAACAAAATAGTCTCTCAGGAAAAACCCTCAGAGCCTCAACTGCCACCACCGGCTTTCCCCAAGCCTCTCTCTCCCACACAAGCTTCTCTCCACCTCCCACAATCCTCCTGCTCTTGAGGCCGATTGGCTGGGTCACGTGGGCGGAGCCAAAAAAGTCCCCCAATGAGCAGCTCCGTGGTCTGAAAGGGCAGGGAAACAGTCCAATGAGCATCACCGCAGAGGAGCCAATCAGCTAGATGTTGCTGGGGCTGCTGTGAGCCAATCGTCAGCCGGCAGCTGGAAGTTTGCTGGCAGCTGGAAGTTTGCTGGGGCCCCTTCGGCTGTGGCTCTCAACACTTTTTATCATTGATTAGTCCTCAAAGGCTAATTGACTTATATTTACTAAAAGACCCAATATATTGATTTTCAGAAAATGTAGACTTCAGGACTAGGAAATGGTGTACCTGTGAATAACTTGGATTAAATATAGAGAATAACAACCTGTATATTCATTCCAATTTTATAGTCCCCCAAAGAACTCTAATGTTTAGGTCTCTAAAATGAAAGAACACAAAGACACCACTTTTTATATTTATTTTAATTTTTTTAAAGTTAAATTCTGTTCTGTAGATGTTAGCTAGGATGATTTATGAAAATGGGTGCCTTTTTGAAATGAAGTCCTTGATAGCACGCCCTTAACTTACCTTCATCAACAGTGGGCATGTTTCTCATCCAATCACTGCAGAGCATTTGCTTGCTTACCTCTCAAAGTTTACTCTGCAGACCCAGCTGTTCTTTAAACTTCCTTTTTCATCCCAAGCTTAGGTGAAAACCAGAGAGATCAAGTAAGTTTGCCTCACACTTTTAGAGCAAGAAAATTAGAGAATAAAAAGGATCTTTCTGTGTTTATGATTTCAATTCTTTTTTTAAAAAAAAAGTATTGAAATGATCAACCAAATGCAATTATGTTTTATCACTAAGACTTTTGTGTAAATATTCTACCAATAAGGTAATCAAATAGTTATTAATAACAATGAACTAGAATGAATATATTCAGAAAACATGCTCAGAAATGCTTCTCATTCCAATTGTATACTTCTAAAACCTAAGCTTACTTTCTTTAAAAAAAAAAGTTTAAGACAATAATTGTATAATAAGAAACTAGATGCTCTTAAATGATATTTGATCAGAGTTACTTAAGATGTTAACACAAACTTACCTGACTCTTGCAATTAGAATTTAGCTGGTTTTGAAGTGGGAGAGTTAACATTCAGTTACAATAATGAAGATTAATATGCAAGAATTATACATTTTAGTTCACTTATAAAACAGCTTAACCATCCAAAAGGAAGAAAAGAGCTAGCTAATGTGCTTTAGACAGAATATATAATTATGTTTAGCACAGTGCTTTTCAAACTTTAGTGAGCATAAAAATTACCTGAAGTAATTCTAAAACGTAGATTCATAGTTCCCATCCCCAGAAGCTTCTAACCAGTAAGTACAAGATAAAGCCCAAGAATAGGCATGAAGTAGGTGACCTACCTTAACCTTAGGTAACTCCTATAAAATTAGAATTCTGAGCCCTCTTTGAGAAGCAACAAACTAAGTTGACAGATGCATTTATTATTTCATCCTAAACTGCGAAATCATCAGATAAAATGCCAATCTTAAGTCATCTTTCAGAAAATTTACATTACTTGCTAGAGCATACTGCTAGACAGCAATTAAGGTATATTCATTTCAGGTACTTTATTTTTCATTGTGGTAATTATGAACTACCCCAGAGCTTTTATAATTCCCTGATGTTTAAGAATCATATGGACTTGGAATGTTTTTTTTTTTAACTTTTGTTAATTTTTACTGTTTTCCTATTGTCATTTAATATGTTTTATATTACAGCAAAAGGAAATCACAGCATTTATTTGTTTTTCTTTGGTTTCAAGGGAAGAAGAGGAAAAACAGGACCACCTGGAAAACCAGGACCCCCAGGACCACCTGTGAGTAAACAATAGGAGAACTGTCCCCATCCTCCTGTCCCCATTCTGTCTGCCTTTTTACTTCCATATGTGACCTCAGTGCTAGTTTATTTCCCTGTAGAATAATTTACTTCTTTGTACTGTTCAGAATAATTGGTTTCGGCACTTGTAGGGGCAATTCATGCTCCCTATACCACCACCTTCATCACCACCCAAACTGGGAGACAAAGGCTGCTGGTAGCTCTCTGTATACCTCACCCCCTTGTTTATTACATGAGCAGTAACAAGTGAGCGTCCTCAACCGAACATCTCCAACAATCATCCAACAACTGAGCATCCCTAAGCCACATGTACAAACAGGTGAATTCTGTTCTGAGTCTGCCTGAGCTCAATTTCAAATGCTTAATAACATTCAGGCTGGTTGTAAGATAGACAACTGGCAAATCCATATCCACTCTTCTTGATACAAAATATATTGTCAGGGACTGGGGTTGTAGCTCAGTGGTAGAGCGGTTGACTAGCACATATGAAGAAGTGGGTTTGATCCTCAGCACCACATAAAAGTAAATAAAATAAAGGTGTTGTGTCCATATACAATTAAAAATCTATACTTAAAAAAATGTGTTGTTAGAGAATGTCATAGAACATACTTTCTAAAAAGAGTTAACTTATCTCATTCCTTTACCCCCAAAATTCTGGAAAAAAGGATTCCATCTCTTGTGGTTTTAATAATTCTAACCTGCCAGAGTCTGGTCTGTGTCCAAGCTAATCCAGTGATGTGGATTCCGGGTCACTAATAATCCCTAAATTGCCAGATTCCCAGGGCACTTCCACATTTCATCTTACTTCATTGCCACACAGAAATTTACTCTGTGGATGGCTCTCTTTGAAACTCTCTGTTCTCTTGGCTTCATAACAATTATTTTTCTCTCCTAACTCTAGGGCTATCCCTTGGGTCTCCCTTGTTAACAACTTTCCTTCTGTCCCCATCAATATGTTGGATGAATTAATAAATCGCAATCATTTATTCCCATCCACATATCCCTCCAGTGTTCCAGGCCTACATCCTGTGGCTCAGTATCTCCATGTGGAAGTCTCCTATGGGTAGTACAAAAGGAACATGTCCAAAATTCTCTTTAAAAATAATTCTAGATTTTTTTTCCTCTTTCACCCTCTATATATACAGTCCCTAAACCATGCCAATCCTATATCTCTATAGGGGATATAGGGATATATAAAAATATATATATTTTGTAAATCCATCTTCTCCTCTCCATCCTCATGGCCACCTACTTAAATGAGGCCTAGGCAACTTGTATCTATACTTTTGTGGCCATCTAACAACTGGTCTCTTTGTCTTTACCTTGTCTAAGTGGAGTAATATCTCTAAATCATGACTCCAACCATGTAGCTCAGGCTTTACAAATCCATGCTGACTTGAATCACTTAAAATTGCTTAATAGCTGAAAACTATTTGGCTTAAAATGTCTTAATAGCTTCTCGTTTCTTCAAGAAAGATGGATGCCATATCTCCTACCTGCCATTCTGGGCCCTTCATGGTTTGCCTTCTGTCTACCATTGCCCTCCTCCCCCATGTCCTTCCTCCCTTCCTAATTTGCAGTGTAATCTTGCCATGCTTTGCAAATGTTCTCCACTATCTTCATAACTCAACCTCAGCATCAGTTCTCCTACATGGCCTTTGATGGGCTACCCTTCATTGTCCTCGAACCATGAACCTTCTGCAGATACAAGCACACTGCTTTGTAACTGTTATTTTCCTTATATGTCTGACCACTTCCCTATAATTTCTTTTAAACCACTATTTTTGTCACTATCTACTAGCATAGTTTCTGGCCTATGGCATGTAATTATTGATTATTTATTTAATAAGTGAATAAACAAATGAATATAATTTTCAAATAGGAAAATGAAGGGATGGGGATGGAGCTTAGTAGTAGAGGGCTCATCTAGCATGTGCAAGGCCCTGTGTTCAATCCCTAGTGCCAGGAAAAAGAAAGGAACGAAGAAAGGAAGAAAGAGAGGGAGGGAAAAGACCAGACAAGACTAAGATAAGTGCCTTTTTAAAAGAACAGAACTTTACTTAGCTACTAGGGGACTCCACACCTAGCTCCTTAGGTATCTCTTAGGATGTCATCATGTGCCAGAAATGAACATAATGTGTGTCCACTCATTTATTTTCATTTCACTTCATTTATTCAAGTGGATTATACTCTTAGCAAGGCATTGTGTCACTTAATGTGATATAAAAATAAGGGGGTATGACTTAGATATCCTAGAATTCAATCTTTAAAGTATCATCTTTGTTGATTTTTATTCCAATGTTTTTGGCAAAATAGAGAACGTATTATAAGATTTTGAATACTTGTTTTATCTTTCAACACAGAAAGCTGGTGAATGCTAACAGGCAAGATTAGACATTGGTGTCTTTTTTCCCAATGTATGATGCTCCTTTTAAGACAGGATAATTGCTGTCTCAGGGGAGGAATTTGAATGATGAAAGTCTTTATGACAAGCTTGCCAACTGTCTATGAGAAAAGAGGATTACACTGAATTCTGGAATGAGTTCTCAACTATTGATCAAATGAGTTCATTCAGGAATGTCAAAGATTAAGAAATATGTGCTGGGCCTGCTGGCACATGCCTGTGATTCTAGCTACCTGGGAGGCTGAGGTAGGAGGATGGCAAATTTGAGGCCAGCCTGGATAACTTAACAAGACCTCATCTCAAAATAAAATGAAAAGAACTAAGATGTAGCTTGCAGGTAGAACACTCTTGGGTTAGAACCCAAGTCTCACAAACAAGAGGGTATTGGGGGCATGGAAAGGGAAGGGTGGAGGCGGGGAAAGGAAGAGGAGTGCCTTTATGAAAGAATTCGTAGTAATTCCACAGGGTTTTTTGGTTGTTGTTTGGTTGGTTGGTTGGTTTGGTTTGGTTTGGTTTTGCCAGCGTATTTGGGGGGAAGGAATTATTTCAAGTATTAAATTTAGAATTTAAATTCAGCTACGGATCTGATACAGAGTACTCATTAAATCCTGAATACATACTTTAAAAAATAAAAGTAGTTTATTAACATGTAATATAAGATACCCAGTTTGTTAAACTAAAGGCATAAGGAAAAGAATCTATGCAGAAAATTATATATATGAATGAAAAGCATTAGGCTTAACTCAGCTCATTTTCTGTTTGAGAATTGCAGTTTATGGAAACTCTCAGTCTTTCTGATTCTGGTATGATACCTCTGACTGACTGAAATGCCTTTTCTCTCATACAACAATCATCAAAGCTTTACCTTGGGATACAGTTATCATCAACTTTTGGATGTTTTAAATTGATGACGTGTATAATAGTATGCTGCAAAAAAGTCCCGTAGAGTACCCAGCCATACTTGCAGAGCTTAGTTGAGGACAGCTTGGAAAAGAAAAGTAAAATAATTGGCTTCCCACATTTTTCTGTGCCACCTTCACATTAATTTTTCGAAACATAATGTACTTTATAAAGAGAACTGTTATTTCCCAAATGACTAGACGTGAAGAGAGTTCTTCAGAATGAGTCCTTTTGAAGTCATAATAACGAACATTTTAAGAAAATGAGCTCATTAAAAAAAAAAAAACCTGTTTCTAATTCACATTGTTCAACTGTTTCACAAACGTTTATTGAGGGCCCTACTGTGGGCCTAATACTCCCTTATCAGCTGGACTTGCAAAGCTAAGTAAGACATTGTCCTTGCCTCCTAGGAGATTCAAGTTTAGGAAGGGAATTCAGTGAAGTTAATTGTTAGGGTTGGTTTCCTATAGGAATTTATAACTGAAGTGTAAAGATTGAGGAGGATTGCCCAGAAAAGCAGATAGAAAGGGAGAAGGGATCAAGCTAGGTACTAGGTACTAGGTACTATTGGCAGCTAGGTACTGTTTTTGCAGGGACAAAAACAGAGTGCTGAGCCTCTGGCAAAGGAGGTGGGGAACTATCCAGTGGAGGGAGAGCAGGAGGCCAGCAGTAGTGAAGCCAAAGGCAGCGAGGGTCATGGAGAAGCTCTCCAAGTCAGGTGAACCCATGGAAAAGTATGAGGATTCTAAGCTGGAGAGCCCCAGGGCCAGATTGTATTGTTAGGTCACTCTAGAGGAACACTGGAATTGAACTGCAAAGAAAGTAAACAAGATTCTTGAAGCTATCATAGTATTTACTGTTTCTAAAGTATTAGCAGAGTATTTGTTATCTCTGTTTGCAAGTCCCTTGGAGGTATTTACATTGTATAGAGAGATATAGATTGTATACACAGAGGAGGAGGGGGAAGGGGAAATTTTTTAAGAGAAATCCCAGGCTGTTTGTGGACATTTTTAGATCAAATGTCATTTTCTATTTATTTGTCTTTTCCAACATTGTACCCTGTGTGACATGAGCCCCACCTCACAGTAGAAAGGAAGGCAATTAAGAGTACAAGAGAAGGGTTGTTAGGGGCTAAAATTCTAATTGGGACTGGAGATGGTTATGACTCACATGTGAGATCCCTAAAGCATGCATTAGAATTTCTTTTGCCAACATGAAATGTAAAATAATCTTAGTTTTATCTCTTTTATTAAACATTAATTAAAATATCCCTCAAATGAATGAATATTTTATATAATTTTAAAGTTATGCCTGAGCAGTTCATTTTTAGAAAAGTTGAGAGAAAAGTAGTCTAGTTGATGTGACTGTCTGAAAAGAGCCAAGGAATTGGAGTTATCTAGAGGCACAAATCCTTTGATAACAGCACATTTTGATCAATGTCCTCAAGAAGATGTTCTTCCCTTTGGGGATTTAGAGGTGTTCCCTAAATCAAAGGTAGTGTTGTTATTTAGGGGAGTGTCGATGAAGATTAAAAGACATGGAACTGAAAGGAAAAGTCTCTGATGGCCTGAAGCAACTCACATAATTAAAATGCTTTAACCAATTCTTCCACTTATGGTTCTTTGTACTGAAGCCAAATCTGTATTTTCTTACTTTCTTAAGAAATTTTTGTACCA